ATGTGCCTCTGCTTTATTTATTGTCGAATTCATATTAAACGACTTGGTGATTATACTATAGTCGAATAATTATCTATCATCCGAATGATTAGACTGGAAATCTTTTATACACTCTACTTCGAAGAAACCGCATCGATCTAATCTATTCATCCAATGGCATCGACTTGATAATGCAAATAATTTCATGGTGTGACAAAGCCCTTTTGAAAAGTCAAAGCCTGGCATCGGTCGGAGGAGTGTGCCAGCATGGGAGACGTACGTCCTGCAAATTAATTCTCCTATATTTAGAAGCTCCGGTTCATAATTTACTCATGGAAATTTAAGTAAATTTGGAATCGGTGCCTAAAGCAGATTCTTAGGTGGATTGTTTTTCTGATAGCATGTCATGTCTCGAACGAATCTCGCGCTCATTTCCGACGCAAGCGAAACACCCGATATCTAGGGAGGGAATGAAAAGTATCAAGGGAGACTTCGATATTGTGATGCACATTCTCAAGGCCTCTTTCGTATCATCCTCGAAGCTCTAAACAGTTTGATACACTTTGATGCATGTTTGCCCTTTACGCGCATAATATTAGAATCTGTTGAAATCTCTCTTCTTTTTGTATCAGTATTTGCTCCTACCTTGAAACATTTTGATACACTCCGGCCAACCAATCACAGCGTGATATTTTCCAGATAGGCTCAGATAGGAAATTATATTTTCATTTATTACGAATCGCTTAGTAAGTTTCTTGATACTTTTTTTTTTTTTTGTAAAATGTTTCGGTCTTATTAACTACAGCAAATGCATGTTTATTCGTAATGGATAAAATTTGGAACGACATAGTAAGAATTTTCAACAAGTCCGAATCATATGACGTGGTGTTGACATCGGTGGGATGAATGTCTCCAATATCATTCTGAATCTCCATGATATAACCTTACAGGATCAAGTATATTATATAATAGACTGTATATTGATTTGTTGATATATTATAATCAACAAGACAAGTAAATACTTGTGGAAAGGTATGCATTAGAACGAATATCTTCACAATACAAGAGATGTATTTTACCGGTTTCGATTATATCTTCGTCAGAAATATATATATTTTTGACAAAATTATTCATGACCATATGCATAAGCAAAAGTTGTCAACTTCATGGGTTCCCAGGCTATTCACGCCTTTTAATCATGTGCCAAGAAAATCAGGAGGATTTCTTTTCTTTTGAGAGACTAATTATGCAAGATGAAACTTCGGTCCATCACTATGATCCAGAAACGATGGCCTCCCTAAAAGGAGCGTCACACCCCCGGCAAGTAAGGTTATGTTCACAGCCTTTTGGACCAGCATGATGGATATCCTGTCAAAAGTTACTACACTTACAGAACCTTACTGCGTTTCACTGCTACAGAAATTGCGGGGGCTATCAGAACCAAGAGGAGCAGAATCTTGAGCAAAAGTGTCTACTTCCAACACCATCTGACTCTCACCTCTTTCCGTATATGAAGTAATTTTTGAAGGGCAAACGTTTTCATGATGATGAGGCACTGATTTTTTTTAAAGTCACGTCATGGCTTCAAATGGAATCTGTGGACTGCGGACTTCACAGCTGTTACAGAAAAAAATGTATTGAGTTAAGGACTGGAAATCAGCATATGACCTATAGAGCTGTGTTTCTTTATGCATGTGAAAATTCAGACTCCTAGGATAAACAGAAGAATCAAAATTAGTAGCTTAACGTAACGGTATTAAGGCTCATGAGGTGGATTGAATTCTTTCCTCTGCTGAGTGTGTGCCAAAACTACAACGGTCATAGAAACATTTTAATCATCCTTTTATTCTATAAACAAATGATAATAAACAAATGGCATATAACAATGTAAATCTTATCAATAACATTATAAGAATAAAAACAAGGAATGCTCTCTACTGCTAACTTAATTCATGTCTAAGGTTAACTCTACACTCCCTTTTCCTTCTAATCAGTAATCAATAATCATTATTATAACTATAATAAAACCAAACTCAAGACGCGATTCATGCAGTCACCAAGGTCTTTCTACCAGTATCTTTCCGTTATTTACTTGTACGTTAGGTAATTGATCCCTTCCTTTTATCCTTCACGATTTTCCTCTCTTACATTTTACAACCATACATAATTCCACCATCAATCTATTCCTTGAAACTGCCGGAATTGTCTCCTTCGACGGATTCTTTTGCTGTATCTACAATCCCAAACAAAACAAAATAATAATGATAATAAAAAATAGAAATAAAATAGAAATAATAAATAAATAAATATTTCCTAACAACAAAGGTGGCATCATGGCATTTGGCGTCACCTCTTTCTCTATACCTGTGTTCGGGGCGAAAGCAGAACTCTGTTTTATCATGATTCAATAAAAGGCATTCCATAATTAATTCACTTATCAAACATTATAACAATTACTTCATGGGTTTTTAAAATAAGATTTTTAGTACCCAGCAGTTACATACCTGTGTTTAGAGCGAGA